TATTTTTATGCGAATTCGCGCATAGTTGGCATTATGTATGTTATAAAATATATCATGACAGATTGTAAGTTTAATAGTTACAGGCGCACTGAATTTAGAAGGTATCGGAACTTTTTTACTGTTCCAAAAAATACTTTTTTTAAAACATTGTGTTACTAAAATGAATTTATTTGATATTTATTTATTAACGCTTCATGCGCAAAGTGTAAGTACACAAGGTGGACTTAATGCCGCAGGCATCTATGATATTGCTTCGGATGAATAAGTCTTAGTTGACTAAAGTATAATTAAGAATGATTTACTTTTGATAACCACCATGGATGGTTGGCTCTTTTGTAATAGTTTTTGAATAGTTCCCAATTTTCATTCATACGTTAGTTGATTTGATGTGTTCCGACGTCCGCTACGATCATCAAACTAGAATATAACATAGAAGATATAATCGATAGTCTTATAAGTCCGGTAAGCCGTAAACGTAGCTAGACAGTGATGCTCTATCATCCTATCATAGATGATATATTGTATGAAACGCTCACGTCATTAGGTGTACATTGTTGGATAGCCATTTTTGTGGGCGCCGCGCCGTTTGTTGCGTAACAGGCATTCTATGTACATTTATTGCGATCGACAGAAGTGGTGTAATTCGTGAGTTTTTACAGCTGCAGTTCGGCATAGGCCCAGACTGGGTGTAGCTCTAACTGTGCTCCGACGATAAACAGACGGCCGCTGTTGCCGACTCGCTGAAAACATCCTTTTACGTCATCGCCTCGCTATGGTTTCTGCCTTCAGCGGAGCTATAAGTTCTTATATTATGTGTCTATGTTTGGAAAAAGTATTTGGACTATTAGGTTTGGCGTCATAACTATCAATCCAAAACAGTTTCCCAATCACTGTCACGGCGTAATTTTCATTAAAGATTTTATGTGTTTTAATTTTCATAAACAGGCAAATGTTAGTATGACGCATCTGAAGATCAGTTCATAGAATTTTAGTTTTAGCTCAGTTTTGACTGAGTACTAATTAAAAGGAAGTTCTTTTTGAGGATGAAAAGTAGGTCGCTTTTCTTGGTGTATCAAATGCCCGCTTTCATTAACGCGCCTATTCCAAGACAAACAGCAATAGTCGCAATTCTCCATAGTACTAGGCTAAATATGATTAGTGGGACGCATCTCGAACGGACGGCGACAGAGGAGTGTGGCGACTGACCCCGTTCCGTCGTCCGCCATGCCACAAGATTGTTATGTTTTTGTTTTTTTCTACAATTTTAACTGAAATATAATGTGAAAATAATATGTCACAAACATCTTAACGACGTCGACGTTTTTAAAATATCTGCTATTTGTATCCATTTTCATAAGAATAACAAAGAATTTCAGGTTTATGCTGATGATGAAAATGAAACAAATTGAATCGCTATGAATAAAATCAACAGCATGTAGTTGATAAATACGATGTCTATTGATACACATACGTCAAGGTTTGTTGTGTTTAGGTCCCCAATTAAACAAACTGTTATTTTTACTTCAATGGTGATTCATTGTTTGGATGGATAGACCATGTAATACATTTCAACAAAAGCCAGAAACTGACCATGAATGTTTATGTAGATAATGTGTTTATGTAGAATAAAGGGTTTTCCACAGAGTTTCCATATTCTTTACTAGCTCTCAGCCTTATTTAGTGGACCTCTAGGTTTTTCAATTATTATAACAAAAATTACAGTCGTATATATGATGTTAACTTTAACATCACACACGTCTGTAATTTGTACCTACTATACTGTACCTACGTATGTACTTAAAATAAATATTAACAATTTCCCGGCTCTTGGCTCTACGTCCGCAAAATCGTCTTCCAATTGACTTTTGTAAGTCGATAAATGATTTCCCTTCGCGAGTCGTTGACTGACATTGAGGCAATGCGATGATTCGTGTTCACTCGCAGCGATGAGATTGATGAGCCAACATTTTGCGCATATGAAAATACAGAAGTGATGACTGGTTCTCTATCTACATTTAACTAATAATTAGGTTTATGAATATTGGACATCACGGTAGATTGATACGCGTCGTAAAATAAAGTGGAGAATAAAATTGGAATTATTAATTTGTCGCTAGAAACCTACCCTCTAATCCTTTAGATCATGACTGCATTGAAACGAAATAAGTATTCTGAATAATATTAACTACGTATGAATAGCATAGGGTTCTAAACGAAACAAGTTGTACTTTTTACCTATCCTTCGTAATGTTCTATTGCCAGTTATGACACCTGTGCTGCTCTAGAGAAGTTACTCAGTTCTGAATAACAAGACTGATTCAGATTTAATCCTTAATATTACATCGAAATGTCAATCCGGCATGGTAGACATTCAAGTTAGTAAACATGTTGTAGTGGGTGGAGGCAGGTGCTTGCGCCCACGCAGGCCGAGGGCCGTGTGCAACCTGACGTCACCGCGACTACCTTCCGATGACGTAGCATGCGGAACCTGCCTTCATTTACATAAACATTACTTTCAATTTTACTAGACGTGTGTGGGTTTCCAACGTATACAATAATCCATTTATAAATTTTAATCGAAAGTATTTAGTCGAATTTATCGTTGTGAAGTATTTTTATTGTGGAATATCTAACCTTGCTCCTCAGAGGCACTTCGGGTGAGAATTAAAAAGGCTAAGGCTAGCCATACTTAGTAGGCTTATCACCACGCTAAGTATTATCTTGGTACTTTGATATCTAGCTATAATTCCTGAAAACACGTTCATTTACACTATTGATAGCTTTGATAACAGGTCGTTACAGATTGCACTGCGCGTAATTGTCAAAGCCAATACGTTAGAGTCATGTAGAAGGTTCATTTAATTTAGATATGTAATAAACGCACGATTAGTGTCCGGAATCGACCACTAAATCAGCAACAACAAAATAGAGACTTAAATGCGACAACCGCTCGACTGCATGCGCTGGTTGATGTTTGCGGCGTCTGCGCATCCACGTTGACATTTTGATTGACGTGCTACGTTACGCTACGCGCATCGCGCATGCGACTAGCCAGCCTACTGGTTCATTTTATTTCATCGTAATTTTCAGCCACTTAAAACTCACACTCACATCAAAGGAGCAAGCCTTGACCTATATCAAAAACAAAAATCTTTCTACTGTAAATAAATCCGTGATCTAGTCTCACGGAACCGGCCGTGTTTTTAATTTTTTACATGGTTTTTGACTAGTTTTTATTGCATGACATTAAATTAAAAGATCTGTTAAAAATCTTCACTAAGCCCTTGTAATTAAAAAGTGACACGAAGGAGCTATAACTGTTTTAAAAGGAAGTAAAACCGTAATTTTGAATTATAAAATGTATACGTATAATAATAAAAGTTCTAGAAACTGAATGACTACCCAATGACCGATTGACTAAGTGACCAAGTAGTGTCGTGTGATTCTGAATTATGATACAACTTCGCGTGGGAAGCGCCGACTCAACACATCAGCTACGATGACTACCATCGTCTTCGTCGCTCCTCCACCTATCTCAAGTGAATTATTATTATTAATAAAATCATTCATTAATTTGTACCAATTTTTAATGTATGACCAACCAGAATGTACGAGAAATGTCTTAAATACTACTGGAATACTAAGGTATTCATCATCAGACACAAGAAGTTTTGAGATGGTCATCAACTTGTAATTTTGTCCCACCACTGAGTAAATCCCTCTTCTTCACTAAGAAGGAAGCCCACTTTATATATATATAGTGTAATATACATTAATGTAGACACAAGTATTACTTTTAAACTATGGTTTTATATCATCATCAAAATGATCGTTGAAAGGGCATATATTTCCCCGTAGTTTTTATGATTGGCAATGGCCTTACGTACCTATATCTGCCTTCATAATTTCCACCAAACTCGTAATGAATCATCAGTGCGCACGTGCGCCAGATTGTTTACAAAATTGTGTTTTGTAACACCAACGTAAAATGCGTAACAGGCATTTACACTCTTATTAATTTACTGTTGTTTAGCTATCGAAATGATAACATTTATTACTTACACTCTTTATCTGTATGTCTATGAACATGCTGATATAATAAATAAATTCTTGGCATGCACTATATTTACCTTTGCTACAATGTAAAATTACTACCAACTTAATAACTTCGCATTATTACCCTTATTGCATGATGCAGTCATAATCTAAGCTATTTACTTGTTGCAATTTATAACAGAACTGGAATCCGATTTTTACGTTTTTGAAGTCTGCATTTGTTTACCTTACTTTTAGTTTTATATTGTGCGTGACTCACAGACAGATGTTTTATTTTCAGCTCGTATTTTCTTTCCCTCGTATATCCAGCTTTATGTGATTTTCAAACATTACATAATACATCCATCTTTCTTCACCTATGGTAACAGTTAAACGTTCTCTAAACGCATAATACAGATAGCAATTTCATGATTTTAAAGCCTATTTTATCGTTTCGTTGATGCGTCTTACAAGAATTTATTTGGTTGAAAACGAATGTTTCACTGTAACGGTCCATTATAGAAATAAGTTTAACACATACTGTTAGGCTTATGTTACTTTACTATATTTACATTATTTAAAATGTTGAGCATAAATATTCTAAGTTCTACGCCAAATGGTATTTCTAAACACAACACAAAATATGTGGTAGTGCTGTACACGTTGTTCTCACCCTATTCACGTATTCATAAAACGATACAGCATGACCGTTCCCGGTCGTATTGCAGTAAGTAGTAAGTAACGCACCTTCACGCGCATAAACTCGTTCAAGGACCCGAAATAATGAGGGCACCGTGATCACAACGCGCTCCATTGGTTCGCCTCGCCCAATTCACCTCACCCAGCGACCGACGTGCTGAGAGCAAATACACTTCCTACTCTGTTATTGTGTATATGTGTGTCGATCTTGAGTGACATCCTCTGAAAGCTTTTAAATTAAAGTATTGAATGTTTGTAATATGTAGAGAGCCGTTCAACGTGTGGCGGAAGCGGCGGCTCGGAGGGCTCGGAGGGGCGTGCGTCTTGGCGCGTCACGCTGGACCACGACCTCGTGGAGACCCTCAGCGCCATATACCCCGAGTGGTTCAAGCCACAGCACCGCCGGGAGCGCAGCCGCGCGGCCTCGCCCGTCTCGCCTGCATCACCGCCGCGCACTCCCGCCACACCGCCCTCAGACGACACTTTCAGGTATATATTAACTATCTTAATAAATTGGTATCATTAGTGTTTCACTTTCCGAGCAAGGGATCTCGGGTTGCAATAATCTAGAATTTACAACAGATTACAAACAATCTAATTGTGTTTACCACACAATTAACATACATTGTATTCGAGGATTATACAGATTATGAAAAAGCTGTTGTATCAGGAGGAACTAAAAAAGCATTTTGTAAAACAATTAAATTAACTGTTTGATTTATGTTTGCCAGTAGTTCTGGTGCGGAGGAGATGGCTGGGCGGCAGGCGAGCTGCAGCGGCGCTAGCGAGCCGCCGAGCTCGCCGCGCGTGTCCCCGCCCAAAGTGGTCGTCGACGACAGCCCTCTGCAACCAGCCATGGGAAAACATAAAGAATGTTAGTATAATATTATATCTTACTTCTATACCATAGACACCTTAGCTATAATAAGTAGTAGTAGTATTCAATGAATAATTGCACTAAATTGCGAAACGAAGACCTTATAATAAATACACACAATGTAGTAACACATGGGATTGTGTAACTAGATGAATCATCTTAACAACAGATATTAAGGGTTTCCACTCTACGCGGAAATGTATTATTGGTTTTATTGATGTGATAGATAACCTGCAAAAAATATTAGGGTATACAAATGATGTTTGTGGTAAAAAATGTCTTGTATTCTGGCAACTCTAGCAATATCCAAAAAATATGTAGTTACCACAAAATTTTACCAACCATGGAATCTGTAACGGAGAAAGTAATTAATTCATTTTAATTAGTGATGATGATGATCCCGTGTGAATTGGGTCACATTCATTATAACGTGGAAGCTAAATAACTGAGTAGAAACTTTGTGCTTTCAATTATTATTGACATGCTGCTTCAAAATGAGTCCAAAGACAGGCTCAGCTGTTGAAATGTCTCGTAAACATCGAATACCGATAAAGCATTTGTGCAAATCGCACTTTCTTTCTGTTTTAGTTTTTTTTTCCGCCTCAAGTGTTAACCAGTCTGTACTGATGTGTCCTGGTTACACATATTTCTAGGCGTATTTTTACGTTTTTGAAATTTTTGATTAACCGTAACAATTGACGTAGATGTTTGTAAGACGCCCGAAACCGACGGCTTAACTCGTCGAGTACCGGTTTTATAGACACAATTAAAGAACAATAGGTCGCGGTCACCGGTGACCGCGACCTATTTGTTAACTTGCCGTTTGTTAGCAAATTATATTGTCAAGAAAAAATTACAATCCAGATCTAATAAGAGTTTTGCATTTACCAATAATACGTGTCTTTATTCTGCATTAAAACATTGAGCAAAATGGAAGCTTTCTTCTCTAATCATATTCTCTGATTAATTTCGTTATGAGATCGAAAGCCGTGTTATTCATGTCCCTGAGACGCACCGGACTTCAGTGATTCGGTGTTTTTAGTAACTACTGTAGATCTTTTCTTAGTTATAGTGGTTTCGGGAAGTTATAGCAGGCTTGTCCCATTTAAACAAAATCAATTACGACACAGTGTTAGTAAAGCGGTGACAAGGTCTGAGATGCAAGGGCCACTGGCCCCGCGTTCGTCTCGCAGTCCGTCTGTTGTTTGCATTAGTATGCCAATACTGTCTGCACTTCCTGTCGTGTTTGCATAGTCTGTCAGTCTGCGCGCATCCCGAATAAACAAATTCTCAGCCCTTCCACTATTTCCTTCGAATGCATAATATAATTTTTTTATTAGTAGTCATAAAATTCACCGAACCTGCCTCTAGTGTCTGATGATCCACATACTTGAGACATCGTAATGTGTCATCACATTTCTACATATCGAAACAGACCGGTTATATTTATTTATCCTTTATGGAATATTTATAAAACCCCAAAAAAGAAATAGACAATGGTAGGACGGCTGTATAGCATTCTTGTATCTTTTGCTGACAGCCTTTGAATAGATAAGAACTGCCAGCACTGATTGGTGTATTTTATTTAATATTTTAAATTCAATAAATTATAATAAAACAAACAGTTAATATTTTAACGATTCGTAACTTCTTGGTGTTTACTTTATGAGCAGCAGTTGAGCTATCATTGTTTCAATTAAGTAATACATAATATAATTTCCTGTTATTATGATGGACTGCAAATAATTTAATTTAATAAAATATTATTAGTTATTGGTTTTACACACACACACGAGCGCGCGCACATTGGTTGTGTATAATTTGTGTGTAATTAGCCGCATGAGTAAAACAAAATTGAGTGGGTATCGAGGTAAAGTCGCCCAGTAACCCACAATATTCGGCCCAGTGGTAGTGAATGTTTCGTCTGTAATACGGTCGCGGCATAACACTAGTTTCCTTGTGCAGTGTTTATTTATATTGGCATCGCGCCAGCGTTGTCCGCCCATCGTTCGCTGCTCGCCGCTTGTCTACACGCAAACAAGAATATAGCTCGCCTCGCCTACGCTCTGCTGCGAACTTTATCGATATAATCTGTGTGTATCGATCGACGTATCGATCACGTCGGCTCCACACGCGACACGCTACGTCAAAGTTCGTCACCTGGCGTCATAACACTGTATTTTTCAAGACGATGTGCCATCTATTCAAGCATCGCCCATTGTTGTATGCAAAAGGTAACCGGCAAACATCGGCACATTCATTCGCATTATGTTCCAGTCAAATCGTTTGCGTCTGTTTCGTTTTGTTCGAATTGTGGGTGATCCAGAGGAAAAATAACAAGGAAAATAGTTTTAAGTAATGCGTGCTATTGCAATATAAGCAGTGATATATATTTCTGTTTGCAGCTTTAAAAGTGAAGCTGATGATGAGGCGGCCAATCAACCAGCTTGTGGCTCAAGGAATCATGCCGCGTAAGTGATCTTTGTATTCATGTTATTTAGATAGTCACATACTGTGATAATTGAGTACAATTTTAAATAGCAAATTGGTATAACACACGTGCCAGGCATTGCGGGAAGCGCCCACCGTCGCACCGAGCTCACGCGCGTGGGATAAAGGAATTTTATTTACTATTCTACTGAATCGTTTAACGAACATTTCTTGGTGACCAAATTAAATATACATTGTGTTAAATGTAGAAGTAATGAGCAAACGTGAATATGAGTTCCAAGTAAAACGGACAATATTTCCATCGAGTGTTTGCATTTTGATTAACCCAGTACGCTTGATGTAATGTCAACACTTAAGAAAAATTCTTTTGTGTGTTCATGTTCATGATGTTTTTTCAGCTTTGAAAACACCACCAGCGTATTTCGAGCAATGCAAGCAATTAGAGAGAGCGAAAACTGGAGACTTATTAAAAGCAAAAATACAGCGGCGTCCGGACCGACAGGAACTCGAACGAAGACACATATTGGAACAAGTAGGTGTAATGTCATTTTATTGGTATCATAATTTTATTGAGTTAGTGTCGTTTTGACACAACCAAATATTTTTAATTAACACATATCCTTTATTAATTTCAGGAGAGCCATGTCGATCCCAGTCTAGCCGAAAAACAACGCATGCTAAAAAAAGCACGTTTAGCGGATCAGCTCAACGACCAACTGTCACATCGTCCTGGTCCGCTCGAGTTAATAAAGAAAAACATACTACACACAGAGGAGACTATAGAGACAGCAGTAAAGAGTGGCACTCTCGCGTTTAAAGCGACCAGCGAAGGTGCGTCGGGCCGACCTCAACATCCGTCTTCGTATTGCGGGCCGCCTGAGGAGGTCTCTCCCTCACCGTCGCCACCGTCCACACTCTCTCCCGTCAGCGTCGCCTCGCCGCCCCAGCATCCGGCTCCTGGCAAAGATAAGAATAGGAAAAAGAGTAAACAAAAGCAGCAACCTAAAGCGAGGTTCAAGTTCCACGAATACAAAGGGCCTCCGAATGCAGCGAAAGCGTCGTCACCCCCGGGCTCCGTGGAGACTCCGTACGAGCTGCTGCTGCAGCAGCAACAGTTGCTGTTGCAGCTCATGTTGCCCGCGTCGCCCGCGCCCTCGTCCGCCGCGTCCGTGGCCTCCGACTCCTCGGACGCGTACCCCGCGCACCCCGCGCCGCCCCCGCCCCCGCCCCTGCCCGTGCCCGCCGGCGTCACGCTCGTTGCGCCCGCGCGCTTCGAAGATATGAAAGTGTCCGACTTGCGCGCCGAGTGCAAGCGACGTAACCTTCGGGTATCGGGGCCCAAACCACAGCTGATCGACCGACTGCGGCCCTTCCTACTCGAGAAACAAGAAGAACCGCCGAAGTCACCGGCGTCGGTAGCCTCTTTCGTATCGATCGCATCTCCAGAAGTGAAATTGGAGCCCGAGCCCCCGGAAGATATCGTTCAATCGCAGCGGAGACAGATAGAAGAGCTCGAGAGAAAACTGGAAGCGTCGCGTCAGCAGCTGGAGGCGGTGCGGCGCGAGGCGGCGGGCGCGGCCGCCAGCGACCAGAGCCGCCGTCTGCTGCAGGCGCATCTTTGTGTGTCGCAGCTGCGCGCGCAGCTCGACGCGCTGCAGCAGCCGGCCGCGCCCGCGCCCGCGCCGCGCCTCGTGCTGGCCGCGTCCGATGCCGCGCCCGACCGCCTCGTGCGGCTCTTCACCGTCACGCCGCCCGCGCCGTCCGACGCCTCGCACGACTCCACCCCGCAGAAGCCCGCTAACCCGGCCTACATACTCAATGGCGTGAAGGTGGTCCCTATCGCCATCCTGCCCACCCACTATGAGCCGGAGCGTGCGGCGCCGCCCCCTCCCCCGCCGCCGCCTCCGCCGCCTCCGATGCCGCAGGTTCCATTGGGTGCCGACGTACACGATGCTGAGAATAGTCAAATAATGGATGACGTGCTTGAGATCCTCGTGGAAAATGGTGAGTTACCGCCTTCAGCCGTTGTCGATGCGACAGTCGCTCCATCATTAGATACGAGCTACGTTTCTAACGGGACGAATGGCTTTGCACCAACGGACATCTTGACAGACGATGTACTCAATGATAATCATGTTCGAGATTCACTCGCCGCAGATGAGCTACAAAGGGAACTTGATGATATACAAAATGAAATTATGAGTCATGCGGACTTGCAAGCTGTTAACGCGAATAATCGGTGCCATGTGGATCCCTCAACGTCGGACATCGATACAGATATAACAGTTGACTTGTTGTCCAATGGGGAATTCCACACAGACTTTGGGTCTGATCCAAATTCAGTCGACAACGACGATTTCTTCGGTAGTCTACTGTCCGGTGATGGCGGAGACCGATTAGATGATAAATCGCAGGCGATGGATATCGGTGAGGACGTACCGGATAGAATGAGCATGACTCCACTAACAAACGGAGACATATTAGATCACACACGAACTGGGTTCGAATACATGGACGATCTATCGTTGCCATCGTTCCAGAACGAAGAATCCCGTCACGACACGTTCGACGAGCGGCCGTGCGAGATCGACCTGAAGGAGTTCGGGATCGACACGGGCTCGCACATGCACGTGGACGGGGACGCGTACGAGTACATGGACACGGAGCTCATCCCCAACATGTTCGGTCGCGGCCACGTGGCGCCGTGCGACCCACTGCTGGGCGGCGCGGGCCCGGGCCCGCTGGCGCCGCGCCCCGCCCGCAAGCACTACTCGTGGGACCGCATCGAGTACGACGCCACCTGACCCGCGCGCCCCGCCTGTCTCTCGGCCTGTCGCTCTCTAACGATGCTTACCCTGTGATCTCTCGCCGCCTCCTGTCGCCGTGGCTTTCGTTTCCTCGCGAATGACGGATAGTAGAGTGACCTCCGTCTGATGAAAGACGTTGTGCTGGTGCAATGTGAACGTAATATTTTCCTTACCTGCGATCGGTCGCTACGGAGTGGCGACGGTCGAAGCGCTAGTCTGCTCTCGTGACTCGTTCTTCCATAATGATGATGACTTTTATTTATCGAAGACTAGACTTAAGAAATTGATGTTGTGAAACACAAAGTGTTTACATTAATATAGAACTGTATGATTTACTTTAGTTTATGTACTTAATGCTGTACGTAACGTTTGTGTCGCTAGTTGATAATAGTTGAATGTTTCATTTACTTCACTAGTGAGTGATCGCGCGTCGCCACCGCGTGCGCAGACATACTTGGCTCACATAATATATTAAGTCCGTTTTATTTACTATTTATAGGCATAATTATTATTATCTACTTATGTATATATTGAGAATAATAATACTCAACATAGTTGTGGATTTCTGCATTCCGCCCGATGACTAAAACTTAGGGAAAAATTATCATAAGGAAAGTTGTTTTTGTTTAGGCACAATCAATCAATGAGTCACCTGGTCACGTACACATTGTGTTAATTATAATTATACGATATAAAAGCTTAAGATTGATGTTGTGTCAATTATTAAAATCCGCTTGAGGCTGTCCCTAGCGCATGGATAGCTATTTCCCGAATCAATAAGTGACATTCCAGTCTTGTTGAAGTGCAAAATATGGCACAAGATCACTTGTCTCTCGCGTTGCGATTATTTATTTTATCAAATATGACAAAATTATAATTGACGTTTATGTTTAGTGGAAATTTAAAATTTAGTAAAATATTGAGAACAAGGTGCACATTCACAAGCCATCGTCATGGGTGGGACCAGCTTGGGAACAATGTTAGATATGAATTCATTTAGATAACTTAGGGAGCCAGCTCCTCGCAGTCGAACAACTATGCAAGCACTTCGGGATCACTTGTTAATTGTACACTACACTGTTATGTTCACACTTACACATGTTGCGGACTTGACTAACGTCGTGCAAAAGTATCGTAATTGTTTGAGTTTACCTAGATGATTATTTTAATTATTGTAACAACAACATTCTTAAAAAATGTATCATTCCATTATAATGTCTAAAATGTAGGATAGGTGCGCCGTTATCAATAAGTTGTCGTTTGTACTCGATTACGCGATCGTTACCTGGATGTGGTCGTAATTAGTTTATATCTTAGAGATCCTCAAACGACTGGACCAATTTGCTTAGAGGCTTCAAACTGCCCTAATAACGAGATAGCTAACGAAATTTGAAGTGCTTACTTCTTTAGAGAGCCATTTCATAGAGTGGCATCTTTTGCGTAGTCTGGATTTAGTTACGTATTTAACTATTAGCTTGTTATTTATTGCCCTTAGTTCCTTGCAACTTAAATCTTATAAGTAATATACAAAACAATAACGGATTGCTTGCATATTTGTTTGAGTGCATATTTATAATTTATTTATTTTTCAAGTCATTCAAGTGTACTTACAGTTTTTGTTTCTGTTGTATTCATTACTATGTGTGAGTGTTTTTTACTAATGTATTTGTATAATATCAAGTGTTGTTTAGCGTTTACCTTTGCTTCATCAGAGAAGGATTAGATAAAGCAGAAATTGAATTGAGAATCGAAAATATATTGCCATTTTTTGCATTTACAATTTATTTAGTTTTTGAATACTTGTTACTACAACGAATATGGATAACTGCTCTGCGTGTGTAAATGTTCAAACATCAGGTTACATTATTTATTATCTATGACACAGTTTTAAGCAAGGAGGCGTCGAAATATTTATTGAATGTTTACCATCTGATGTATGGGTTGCAGACACGGTGAGATGGGTGTGCATTTGTACTTTAATTAATAAATCACTCAATAATATAAAGTACATTTGCACATGGAATGGTGCTATTAAAATTTAACATTGAATTTATATAGAAGAAGATTTAACGTTGTATAATTTGTATATTGGATTGTATGTGTGGCTCTAATGTTAAAGTAAACATGATTAACAATTTATAAATCAATGTCACCAGTTTCGGACTTGAAAAGTTTTCGAAAATACGGAGCCAGCGAGAGGCTGCGTTCAAAATTAAAACAGGGCTCGCAAATTGTAATTTGCTCTATTATTTAAGTAATATTCCATTATCTAAGTGAATTATACGGAATCTTTACACTAGATTTAAATATATAAAATCTATTTGCTCATTATCAAAATTGTACCCATGTTAGTCAAATATATTCGAATCATAAAGGGAGAGAGTGTTCATATCGCCTCCCAAATATTATTAACAGGCCTAGTGTGTTAATTAGCTTTGTATTTACTCTTGTGCAAGAGTTTAGTTTAAATGTATTTAACGAGATACTAAGTGAGATTAATGTTTGATAAATAGCATATTATCTGCATACTTGTTATTATTGTTGTAATTATTTTAGGAGAGTTTTAATATTTGTTTGTAATCTAAGTTATATCCAACCCGACGTTATACTATATGTTTACACATAATATTGTATTCTTTAATTTGCTCTCTGCTGTTTACTTATTACACATATAATGAATCAGCTTCTATAAACTTACTAAATATTAAGGTTGAATACATTTTTACTGAAGAACTGCTGCTGCAGCTGGTCATAATTGTGAACTTTTGAAGCAATACCCGGCTTAAAGCCATTGGTTTGTAGTAGAGCCAAGTATTCAATAAATGTTAAGATGTGATAACCACTGGAGTCGGATTTGTAGTGTAACTGGATAGTTTTTTTACCTTGCCCTGTAATGAAGCCTTGTAAATATTTACTAAGCCTTTATTAGTATAAGGAGAGAATGTTGAATAAAAAGTTTTTGACATAATAATGTTTTATTTTGCACAATTGAGAGTTTTGTAGGATTTGTATTTTGTACTCTAAAACAGCTACTTCACCTAAGTGCTAAGTTGTGAACATAGAACAGTTTCGGTCAAGGCCTGCCCTATTTTTCCACGGCGTACACGGCGTAAACATCAGGGTTTCAGACTTTTTACAGTATTTTTTGAACTGCCGAACTAATAGAGTTCACAATCGAGATAATTATCATTAGTATGGAATTTTATTTATTATTCATGTACACACATACAACACAAAGGACTGCACATAGGGTAATATAATAGACTACGGTCTATTATATTGTTTTTTTTTGGCTTTTGTCCGATTGTGGCTTTTGTCCACACTTGGATTACATACCCCAATTTCTGGGTGAATAGGGATAGGCTATATTTTAGCTTTTTTATGCATAAACTGAAATGCTAATTGCATAATTTATGTTTGATCACAAAGATAGCATCACGACTCAATTATTACAATCGCCTTACAGCAAATTTTCTATAAAAAAACGTCTTAACTTTCTTTATGAAGTTCAGATTTGTCCCTATTCACCCCATTTTACGGTATTTTTATTATCATTTTTTTCTACTGCCAACATCACAAATTTTGAATGATGAGCAGCAGCATTCTATGTTCTAGGTGTTTTTGACATAACAGAAATGACAGAATTGACAGATGTTAGTTAGACATTGACACTTGACAGACATCTCGAAATCAAAGGCCAATGGCGTCACGGCTTTATATTTTTGATTTGGAAGCAATCGAAAAATAAAGTAGATTTGCTGATATTAATAAGTGGATTTTTAATTATTAACAACATCCAGCAAACTGGTTGCCTAACGCATCGAAGTGACGTGGTAAAATATTTATAGTTATGATATTAGCTGAAACTCTTCTGTTTTCATTGACACTGATCGACAGCGGTGGAATATTATTTCTTCTAGTTTACTACATAATTACGCTATCTGACCTGGAATGTGATTACTTGAATGCTCAAGAATGCTGTGAAAAGCTTAACTATTGGATGCTACCAAAGTACATAGCGCACAGTTTTATAACGGTCCTATTATTATTACATGGTCAGTTGATCTTATTCGTTTTGAACTTGCCTTTGTTTATTTGGCTAACGTTCGAATACTTTACCGTTCCTCGGGGGAATTTAGGTGCATACGATCCTGCAGAGATCCTGAATCGAGGACAACTCAGAAAGCATTTGAAGGATGTAATGATTAATGTTGGTTTTTATTTGATATCATTTTTCATTTATCTATATTGCTTTATATTAGCGTTGCTCAAAGGCGATCCCCTCCAGAGGTCAGCAGACGATCAAATTGTAACCGAAATATAAGAACAGAATAAAAAAGCTAAAATGGCTGAAGAACCAGTGATTCCAAGTTCTTTTAATGCTTCTGATGTGTATGATCCAATTGGTGAGACTGAGAAGAGATGTGAGAAGTTAGATATACCAGCTCCTTTGGCTGCTTTCTTCAGAAAGACAGAGTTGCATAGGAACTTTCAGCAGATAATTCAAGACCAAAGTTTGTTGGAAAAAGTTGCTGCCAACTATGTAATTGTTAAGAAAATTATTAGTTTCTTGCCATGGCAGGACAAGATAATGTGTAAGAATGTTTGCTCAATGTGGAGGTCAGCTGTGAATACATTACAAAAGGAACAGATTGGTCCTGCTGACTTTGCTATCAGTTTGAGACTGTGTCACATAAAAAATGGGCTGCAGTTGGTACAGTCTGATGTCTTCTACACTGAACCACTGATGGTGTTAGTATTTGGCAATATGGGAGGTTTTGGAGTCACTTACAAATGTGAGACATTACTAACTTGCCCTTGTGATCCTCCGTGTGAAAAGAGTCATCACCGTGAGTATTTATTTCATGTAGTTTACTTGTGAACAATTCACCTTTTTTAGTAGTATATTCTGATAGCGATCTACTTATTCAAATAACACATCTCCCTTGAATAATCTCATTTAAACATTTCTTATTAGACACTTCAATAATGTCTAATAGTCTAATGAGATTCACATTACTTTGAACAAAAAATGGAAGTTTGAAGATAAATGATTAATAGAGATTTCATGTCATTTTTATTTCAGTTATAGATTTGGTGGATAATGTAGTGGTGGCTCCGAAGAAATGCATGCTGGCAGTGAAAGTCTGTGACATATCATATAAACCTTTGAAACCTTCAAAAACCAACCACTTGACAGTTGGCAGGAAGTTATGTAGGATCAGTGGCTTCATTGTAGGAATGTACATACCAGTTATACCAAATGTGAACTTCCAAATCATTAACATAAAGTGTATCCGTGATATCAAAACAGTCTTCATGAAGACCATAGACAAACTGGCAGAGACAGACTATATTAAGGGTGCACTGGTCTTTGTTAATGGAAGTTTCATCCTGCATTCAGTGGATGATATAGTGTTTTTGAATTATTTGAAAGAGGTGTAAGTATAATCTACTTAAATGATGGACATTTTTCCTATTATGAAACCATTAATGTTTTATTTTTCTATCTAGGCAGCCAAATGTACCATATGCCTTAGGAGGATGTATAGTGGAAGACACAGTGTCCGACAGGGATGATATGAACATTATGATAGAAGGAGTGAATACTGGCAAAGATCTAGTGACCGAGAACATTGTATCTATTGGATTGTTCTCTGTCCCCAAAAGTTTTATTGATGCTCCACCAGAAAATGGCTGTAATTTTGACATGTTCTCACTGATATTAGAATCCTCCGATTGGTCTAAAGCCAAGATACAGAGTGCTATTAATGAGGTAAGCGTTGAATAATTATTTAAAATTTTACTGGCCTTGTATATTTCTATTGTTAAAGATTTTAACTTAAAATGAAATTTTTTAATTTATTCAAAACATTGAGTCCCACTATTTTATAATTTTGTATGCTGATAAAAGCTAACATAGCGTTTATAAATGTTATTTTAGACCCTAATATTACCTATGTTTATAATTAATAAATGAATTTGAATTTGAGAATACTGCTTCAATGCCTTATTATTTATTTTAGTTTGCGAAGAAAGTTCCTCACTTTGAACACAGCGTGGTTATCAAGATGTCGTGTGTGGGTCGTGACAATAAACATGACTATGAGCAAGAACTCTTCCGGGCAGCATTCCCAAAAACACGTCTCGCTGGTTGCTATGGAAATGGAGAATTAGGTATCAATCACCCAGAGCGCTTAAAACCTGAGAGCTTCACTAGCGTCAAACGTCACCGAGCTGATCCTGGTCCTGCATTTGGTATTATGTATTCTTATTCTACAATATTTGTTTACATTGGTTGGGGTAATATAGTAACACCTGCTCAGTCTACCTAAGATCAAATAACTTGTAATTGTTTTGATTTTCAAGATTAATCATTACATCACATACCTTATTTGATATATATTATAGATTTGTCATAATTAGGTGTAGCTTTATACAAATACCGGTGTGTTTTATACTTTTTCATATGGATGTTTTGAGAGCTTATACTATTGGTAATCCTATGATACATATATTCTCTACCAAAGTGTAAAAGAATTTATAAAATGATATCAGATGTAGTCTAGTTTAAGAGAATCAAGGACCTGTTGGAACATCTATGTTATCAGCTAATCCAGATACCATTTTATAAGTTGATTAAGGTTAGACTGTATGTCGACGAACGAATAAATTAAGCTGTATAATATAAATTTTTTATAATGCACTTTTTGAACCCTTCCCCAGAGGGGATATTACTAAGTATAACTATATAACTTACGTAGGTTTTAAATATAAGTAAATAAACATTTATGCTTCCTTCAGCGATGTTGTGCATTGAGATGCTACAATTTTGTGTATAATGAGCCTACAATTTTTAAGTGTTTTTTTTATTTTGGCCTCTGTGCTGTTACCAAGTGATTGTTTACTTTTTAAGTACTTTCTGTGTTAGATGTGTAAGGCTATTTATTGACGTTAGCCCTAGTTGTAAGTGTATAAACTACGCCTTTGTAGATATTGTTATGATACATATTATTATGTATTTATTTAATGATACAAAATTGTTGATAACCTTCAAGAGCTATAATTTTAATTGAGTTTAATACTTCATAAACTATTTAGCTGAACTAGTTATCACCTCTTCAGAATTTGCTGATGCAAATCTCTCCTTTGAGCAAGCAGTTATGAACATAAATAGTAATTCAAATCTGCAAACGCGTAGTTCATACATCTTCGATTGTTGCTCCACTTTTATTTATTATTGAAGCTTTTACTGCAATGCTTTTATTTTCTATAAGGTTTTTTTAAGTACAAAGTCAGGAAACAGGTTCTTCTGTAGGTACTATATTTAGTGCATTACACTTTTTGCAGCTTATTAAGTTAATTACCATAATACTTCATAAATAATTAGGATTTTAAATTTTTACTCAACTAAGAAAATTGTGAAGTAGGAATTGGTGTAACATTAATTGAAAATTAAGAACAAATAAAAATAATCTATTCAAAGTTTCTGTTCTGGTACTAATTGCGATTTCTGTAGTTGTGTACCCTAAATATGTAATTAAAGTCACCCATACTGATTTGTATTGTTTTATTTTAGTATCCCTGGATAGGGGACATCATTTTTATGTTATACATATCTATAACTAAGGTTGATACGGTAGCACGTGCGTGCTCCATATGAGCATTATGTAATTCCACTACATAATACTAGAAGACATAAAAATATTTCCTATTAAACGAACTGGCAACCCTGTTAAGTTTTGCATAAGATTATAACCGTCGTCTATTCATTTGAAAGAGAGTATGTAGCATCACACATCGCATTCATTGTTCCACGAGTCTCGCAATATAATGAGCTTTAATGAGTTGTTTAGAAGACATTAAACGTGTCGTGTGTGGGAAGTAGGATGCGACGCGGATTGCGAAGACGTGGCTCCGATCTACCCAGCCTACCCCTTATTTGTAATAATAATTAGTACTGTGTAAAAAGTACCCACTTACCACTTACGTAGTAGGCAATTAGTTGTCGTAGATGGAAAGGATACAGTTCTCGCCTTTCTACTGATTTCTGTTGTAATGTGTAACTTACTGTATGTCGGGTAAACAGTGCACGATTAGCGTTGTGACCGGCTGTACAACGTGTCGCAAGTTGGAGTCCGGTCTAGTTGGGCTCAAATGCAAATAGATTTTTATTAAGAGTTCGGGATCAGTGCCGTAACTAGCCTTCTAGGCGCCCGGTGCGAGTTTTCAAAACTGCGCCCTTGAAAAATGTCCTTACCTCTGACACCTTAGGCTCTGACAATAAAATGGACAAATGTGCATGAAAATATAACTGTTTATTGTGTACCAAGTTATAGGTCGGTACTTAGTAGATGTTTTAAGACAATTCGTTGCTTCCATTCCGCCATGAGATCGCGCCGGAGCTCTTCCCGCCACGCACTTATCTGGCGCGGCAGCAGAGTTTCGCCCCGGCGACGTGCCTCCGCGCGCATACACGTGCGCGAGCACCTTCGCCTCCAGATGCCACGGCGGTAATCCGGCAAGGAGGTTCGCCGCCTTCCCGGAGATCGTGCGATATCCGCGGATCATTCGGATCGCCATGACCTTCTGTGACATGAGCAGCGCCCGAGCGGGCCGCCGCATCAGGTTCGGCGACCACACAGGGAGGGGGCAGGAGGCGTTTGGCCCCCCGAGGTTGGGGAGGATGCGCTTAAACGCAGCCCCCGTCCTCTCCAACTTTGGAGCCAAACGTCGGAAGTGCTCCACGAAGTTCCACCGACTGTCGAGGACGAGTCCCAGGTACTTCATCGTCGTCTCGACGCCGATAGTAACCTCTCCCGCCGTCATTTGAGACCCACCCGGAGGTGGCGCGTTCCATGAAAACACATAGCCTCGGACTTGTGGAGCGCCACCTCGAGTCCCAACTGCCGGATTCTCTCAACAACAGTCGCAACCGCTGTCGCCATTAAGTCGGCCGCCGCTTGGTGCAACCTCCCGTGCGCTAGCACCAGCGTGTCGTTGGCGTAGCATATGATGCTAACGCCGTTCGGGAGGTCGGTGCGCAGCACCCAGTCATAGCCGATGTTCCACAGGAGCGGCCCCAGAACCGAACCCTGTGGAACACCTCTGTGACATCTCTCACCGGTTCCACTCGCCCTGGTGACCGGGGTAAATGACGTACCTGTCCGTCAGGTAAGCCTCGATTACACGACGGAGGTAGGTAGGCACCCGATGATATTGGAGTGCCTCCAAGATGCAGCTCCAGGGCAGGGAGTTGAAGCCGTTGGCGATGTCTAGAGACACCGCCACAACGACCTTACACCTGGACACTGCAGTCCCCGTCGTCCGGTCCCTAACGCGCATGATGGCGTCCAGCGTGGAGCGTCCTCTGCGGAAGCCCAACTGGCCGTCCGGCAGGTCCGGCCCAATGTCCGTCAAGTGCGCGACGAGGCGGTTCGAAATTATTCTTTCAAAGACTTTCCCCATCTCGTCGAGCAGCACTATGGGCCGGTACGCGGACGGAGAGTCCGCAGTGCCCCGTCTTCCGCACGAGGACTAGTTTACCCGCTTTCCAGAGCAGCGGGAACTGACCTCTCTCCAAGCATGCGCTGTAGAGACCGATTAATCGAGGCCCGAGAGCCTCTGAGGCCAGGACCCATGCTTTGCCATGCAAGCCATCGGGTCCTGGAGCGGTGTTCTTGGCGCCCACCCGGCGCACCGCCGCTCTTAGTTCTGCCTCGGTCACCTCTGAGACGATGTCGTCGTCGTCGTCGCTATAGCCCGCGTCGGGCACCGCAGGGGCCGGAGTCATATACGGAGGGGTGAAGCCCCTCCACAGTCGGGGGAACAGGGCGCCAATCACCTCCTCTAAGACTTCTGGCCGCAGACGCTGAGTGAACGGGGGAGCCCAAGCGCGGAGCTTGTCGCGTACCATCCGGTACGGGCGTCCCCACGGGTCTCTGTTGAGAGTCCCCAGTATGCCACGCCCAAAGTTATAGTATAGGTAATAAAAAAAATAAAATAAAAATAAAAAAAATAAAAATAAAAAAGTTTATTTCAATTACAAAAGGCATTACATAAAATTATTGGAGATCACCTTTTAAGCAATGGATTGCTTGTGTTAGGAGACTCCGCACTTCCACATGACATTCTAAGTAATTGAAGTTACAATGAAGGTAATGGGTAGGTACTTTTATTTGTAATATTGCGAGCAAGACTTAAGGTGGATATACATTTGAGTGATGTGTAGTGAGTCGTTTGACAAGTGTTGTTGATTCAAGATCGTTTAAAAATGCGATACAGATTTAGATAGTACAGTCTGGTCATTTCTGCGCCCCTCCAGGGTCTGCGCCCTGTGCCTGGGCACCGCTGGCACCGCCCTATTTACGGCGCTGTTCGGGATATGGAATTCTGATAGTGGTCCATCACAGACCACCTCGCTTGTCCCCTGTCTGCAGAACTCTGACCTTTTTGATCGTATTCGACTGTTATCCCATCAGGATATGACAGGGTATTATATATATTGGTAATATTTACTGCATAAGACGATTAGTTACAATAGCTACATAGACTGAATCGAAATGTAGATTGAGTTGGAAATAGCGTCATGCGATGTAAAAACAATAGGTCTGCTTAGAGGATCTACTGATCGGGTATCGGGTTGGTTGAGGGACCCTACACGAGATGGGAAGACGACATTAAAAAGGAACAAACTAGCTACTAACAGCAAAGAATAGAGACAAATGGAAAGCCTTGGAGGCCTTCACCTGAGATGGGTCCATACAAACACATAATGTCGCGGAGAACCTAACGGGTAACCGGGGCTCCGGCTCGACGTGCAGGAGAAGGAACGGGGTGGTTTTTAGTCAGTAAGAGTCTGACACTCCCTTCCGCCTCACCCAGGCGGGAGCAGTCATTCGATGATTTTCCCCCCTTAAAAAAAAAAAAATACAAACACATAATAATTCTAAATAATCTGTATTACCAGGGGAAAAATTATTTTAATAATTTCTAACAATTAAATTGATTTATTCAATCTTTAAATCAATTCAAATTGTACTTTTAAGGTTAAATCTGTTTTCAATGTACCTAATCACTGTTTATTTATGCATAGAATACAAGCTTTTTTATTTTAATATGTAAGTATGTAAGTAAGGTAATCTCACATTCCCTAATCCATCACCCAAAAAGCAGACTGCTCTTTTGAAAAATTCCTTCTGTTAGACTAAAAATCTATTTATTATGTAAAACCTATGTAAATTAGAACCAGCCAGCTTTCTTCTAACGATAATTACTTAGAATGGGGATGATGACAGGGTATGAAAATTAAAAATATAATTAGTCCGTAAGTTAG